GACGCACACGAAACGCCTTCGTCGCAAATTCCAGCCGTCCCGTGCCCACTATGAAGTGGTACCGCTAGCCTCCAGTATTGCTCCCTGTCTTCTTTCTTCGCCTCCCTCGAGTCCACTCCGAATCCTGTGCCATCTACGCGCGAAGTCCCGTAGCTGCCTGAAGTTCGCCTCCGATCCCACAAGGTCGCGATAGTAGACCGGCCCAACCTCGAGCACCTTCACACCATCAAGAAGTTCCCTACGCGCCTCCCGGTAGAGCTTACACTCCCACAGAGCGTGGTATGCGTCCTCTACTACTCCCTCCCCACAGTAGCACGACCCCACCTCCGCGAGCTTCATTCTGTGAAGCCTACCCCTGAAACAGCCGTGTCCCGTCAGCAGCTGCGAGGTTTCGTAGTCAGGCTCGACCCAAGTAAACTTGAGTCGGGCCTCCACTTCCGGGAAAAACCGATATAGCTCCCTCCCCTGTTCCGACGTGTCCCAACGTCTCTGCCATTCGGCATTGACGGACTCAGTAACCCTGAGTTTGGCGCTCCGAAGCTCTTCAATGGTAACCGCGGACTCGCGTGCATCACCTAGTCTGCCTGCCCGAGTTACCTCGAGGTCGGCCGGTAAGACGCCAGCCAAGACCGGCAAAGCGACAGAGCTCGTCGACCGGTACGCCTTGGTCAGAAGGATCAAGGCGGGTCTCTGGGTGCGCAAAAGCGCACTACGCACAACGTGAAGGGACGCACGCTCATACCAACATGCCGCAGCATACGTCACCGTGGCGATGTAAGTGCCTCGGTACAAAACCTTTAAGGCCTTGTACCGAACTCCCCAAGAGGCCGCCGATACTCTCGACATCTTGCCGAAGCAATTTGCCGCCCTCTCCCCTATCGACGCCGCATGCTGCGCGAACGAGAGACTCGAGTCGACCGCCACACCCAACACAGTGGCCGACGTCACGCTCCTGATAGACGTCCCCCCGAAGCGGATGGTGGGTGGCCGCTGGAATTTTCCCCTGATCGTCATAGTTACAGACTTTGCAGGAGAGAAGTCTAGCCTATTACGGGCCCCCCACTCACCGACGAGCTGCAAAACCGTAGAGGCCGTGGCCTCTATGCTCGCCCGGGATCCGGATTCTATCAGGATCGTGACGTCGTCGGCGTACGCCACCATGCTTACCCCCCCGGGTAATGGCAGTCGAAGCAAGTCGTCCATGAGCACGTTCCAGAGCGTAGGTCCCAACACCGATCCCTGCGGGCAACCCATCGTCGCCGCCTTCCACACTACCCGATCACCCACGAACAAGCCCACGCGGCGATTGGCGAAGTAGTCCGTCAACATCCTAAAGATGTTAGGCGGACATCCCCCGCGTTTCACCTTGAGCAAGATCATGGGCCACCAAGCATTATCAAAGGCCCCAGAGATATCCAAAAATACCGCTTGAACATACTTCAACGAGCTCTCTCTAGCCACCCTAAAGATTTCCTTCAGGGCGGTTACCGTCGACCGACCCCGAGTGAACCCGTGCTGGCAGTCCGATAACCCCCTGGTAATTTGCGGTGCACACCTTAGCATTACGCGTTCCAAAATCTTACCAAAGATCGGCAACAAAGTGACGGGGCGATACGCTTTTGGGTCGGAAAGCTGCCTGTCGTTCCCTTTCGGGAGGACAATCAGCCTGCCGTCCTTCCACGTATCAGGAAATCGTCCCTCCTGGACACATCGCCTAAGCATTTCAGTAAATTCCACCGGCGCGGCTGCCCAAACGTGTTTGATAATGCGAGCGGAGACCCCATCGATACCCGGTGCAGTGTTCGGCGAGTCCTTGACTATTCCCGCGATCACGCTGTCGGTTGGAGGCGGCGTATCTTCTCCTGAGGGTGTGAAAGAGGCCAGTAAGCGCACTTGCCGGTGATACTCGCTGTCCTTAGACACATCGTCGTCCGGACAGAGAGCATACATAAGGCTGTGCATGGCCTCGTCCACACTCCCAGCATATCCTTCGGCAAACTTTGTGCCATTAATTACGTTACGGGGAGGCCTAGACCTCCCACTCGCGGCTCGGTAGGCCTGTCCCCAAGGGTCCAGGTTTCCGGAATCAGCGATTTTTCTAAAGTGCAAAAGTTGCGCCTCCTCCATGGCCGCCCTGTACCTACGCCTATGCACATGAAAGCGTCCTCTGGCCTCCGCCTCAACCAGGCCGCCGGCCCGGCGAGTGGACTGCCAGGCTCGTCTCAACTTATTGTTGAGGTAACGCATCCGATCGAGCTCGGGCGTCCACCAATCATGCCCCGAGTCCGAATTCCTATTTTTAGCCACCCCCAGCGTCTGCTTCGCGGTGCTCAAAACAAGAGCTGCGAATTGAGCACAGACAGCTGAGGCGGGACGCTTCCACTTAATGTTACCCACCCGCCCATGGATCCGACGCTCAAAGAGAGGCCAGTCCACACCGCGATCCCTGAGTCTCGGAAGCTCTTCTAGCAGCCCAGCGCGTGGAGTGCTCGTACTTGCCAGGTCAAACGTAATGAGCCGGTGGTCGCTCTCAATTTTATCCTCCCACACTCTCCATCCCGTTGCCGGGACGCCTCTGGTTGTTAGTGTGAGGTCGATGTTAGACGATCCGTTCGCAGTGGCAAAGGTCGAGGGTTCGCCCTCCCTGTTAACCAACTGCATGCCTCGAGCCAGGATAAACGCCTCCATGGATTCACGGCGATGCGTGACGTCTGGCCCACGTCCAGTGTACTGCCGCGGTTCACAGTACCACATCGGAGAGTGCGCATTGGAATCTACCCCTATTACGACCTTCTTCCCCTTCAGGGAATCCAGGACCCTGCCCAACTGCTCCAAGTGCATATTTATGTCGTCGCTGTACTGAAAGTACGCGGACACCACGTAAAATCCCTCTTCGTCGGTTAGTAAATGACACACGGTACAGTGCGTAGTCGACAGATGTTGCAAGAAGGCACATGGGAGGTCCCGACGACGGACATAAACGCCTGCCTTCGGTCGTGCGCCGCACTGCAGAAAACTGCTCGCGGCGTTCAAGTCGGGTCCAGGGTAATGCTCCTGAACCAGAAAGACGTCTAGACCCAACTCCTCAGCGACTCTTGGTAGTTTCAATGTGGCAAGCTCTGCCCCCGCCAAGTTTATTTGGCCGACTGTACACTTTGTTGGAGCCATTAGTATGCCGTTATTTCCACCATCCTCCGTTCAGCATGTATTCTTGCGGGGCAGTCCCTAGCCCCCGTTAGGTGAGAATCGGCCCCCTTTTGGCCAAACTTGTGGCATGTGGCACACCTAGGATGTTCCCGCGAACATGCTTCCGCAGTGTGTCCTATTACTCCGCACTTGGTGCAAGTTTGTCCCTCCTGCTTGCATCTTTTGTCGCTGTGCCCGTACATGCAACACTTGCCGCAGCACATAGCTGTCGTGAAATCTTCCACCCGACAGATCTCCCATCCTATGTACAGTCGACCCCTTGTAACTAACGCCTTCCTCATTTCTGGGGTACAAGAAATCACCATCGCTGAGTGTGGTGAACCCCTCCGACTCTTCCGAAAGGCTAGCCTTCCCTGGCTCTTAAAGGCTTCGAGAGTCCACTTTTCATCATTTTCAAAGTTTTGTTTATGTACCATTTTAATTATTTCCTCATATGATGGATCCTTGCCTTCAAGGTCCCTGATGACCACCAATGGTTCCCTCCCTTTCAAATCACTAGCCCTGACTGTGTTTGGTAGAGCCGCCTTTATTTTGTTGATGTCCTCCTTCGTTCGCACCTGGACAACCACTCCTGCGTTCCCCACCTTTCGGACTCGGTTAACATTAATGTTAAGTTGTGCGGGGGCTATGGAGGTCTTAAGTGCCGCCTTAGTCTCCTCCGAGTTTTTGATGGCTGACCCCTCCGCTGGATAAATTGCCACCACAGAGCCCGACGGTATCCCGGAGCGCAACTTGCCCGCGTACGAAGCTGGTCCACTCGCCTCCTCTGTAGTGCGGCTGCGAATGGCTGCCGTGGCTGCTGCCGTGGCCGCCTCAACCACCCGAGATGCTGCCGATGCTGCTTCCGCACGTGCCGCTACAGCCTCAGCTTGCGCTCTGCACGCCCTCTCCTTTTCTCGTTCCCACGCATCATTCATGGCGTCCACCTTTGTCCTCGCTCAACTCACCTCCTTACGGCCCTCCTCCGCAACGAGCCCCAAGTGCGCCACGATCTCCATAATCGCCGACAAGTTTTCATTAATTTTGGCCAGATCAGTCTTGTTTAGCCTCGAACTGGCACCCCCGACGATGAGTGATATAGCCCGAGACGCCGCATTAGCGCCTGCCAGAAGCTGTCTTGAGGTGGCCCTGGAAAAATCCGATATCTCACCTGTCGCACCCTCGGACTCCTCCTCACTCGAGCAAAGTGTTCTATAATCCGACACCGTATGCTGGTCCCCCACCTTTGTTTGTTGTCGCCGCTTCGGATGGGTTACCTTCGTCCACTGATCCGGCGATAGCAAACGCTTCGCCGACTCCCTGGTAGGTATCGGCGTCTTCGGGGTCGGCGCAGGAGGCGGAGGTGAAGGCCCCGGCGACAGCGATGCCATGACAGCATCGTACACGGCCGACGAAATATCCGCCGCCGACTCCATTATGGTCCTATATTGCGGTGGGCTCGGTGTCCTCGGTGGGACGTCCTGCGATCTACCGCCAGGAGGGGTCCTCTGTAAGGACGCCCGAGGTCTAAACACGTTAGGAGGGGGCTTTCCCCCTTCCGAGCTACTCATTGTCTATACACTCCAAGTTTGAACATGCACGAAAAATTTCCCCGAATTTAGGAAGAAATTTCCCAATTGGCAACACTTTCTTACAGCGTAGCGTAGCCCCGAACGCAAGTGTCTAAAAACTACACTGACGTATCAGACGTCACTGTCTACTTGACAGACAGACGTCACTGTCTGCTTGACAGACAGACGTCAATGCTTGACAGACGTCACCTGGGCGTGTCTACCCACAATTATTATAAAAGTTCACGTCCTACCTACAAATTACAAATAAAATTTTAAAAAGGGGGTAGGCGACCGCGTGGTCCTAACCTAAAAGCACATGGAAATAACCACGTGCTGTCTAACCTACAAACTACAAGCTAAAACTAATTAAATCTACACTAATTACTGAGAAAGTCACTGTCTTTACTTACAACTAAGCAATATAAATAGGGTACTCCCTGACTTTGCCCGTATCCCGCCTCCAGGCAGGCGAAAACAGGCACCTCTCGGGACTCGCACCAACGTCTTGCAAACTAAGCACTAAACACTAAATAACAGCACAAAACACTTATTATTCGTCCTGTCGATAAAATCTAATTGTCCACAATATATAAATGCACAATAATAATAACCCTTCAGGCGCTGAAAGCAACTCTGAAAAGGATTACAAAATTCACGTATATTAAGCTAGCAGACCATGGTCGCAACGCGCACATCTAACCTACTGGGTATTTAGTTGCTAATTAGTTGCTAATTAGTTACACTATTCCCGATTTAGTTGCTCAACACCTGTAAAAGATACATGCGATCTGCTAGCTTAAGTCTTAACCTAGCAGACCACAATACTGTATCTTCGGTTCTCGTAAAGATATCGAAGTTCTGCAAACGGCATATTTAGTTGCTAATTAGTTACACTATTCCCGATTTAGTTGCTCAACACCTGTAAAAGATACATGCGATCTGCTAGCTTAAGTCTTAACCTAGCAGACCACAATACTATATCTTCGGTTCTCGTAAAGATATCGAAGTTCTGCAAACGGCATATTTAGTTGCTAATTAGTTGCTGTAGGACAGCATTATTTGTTTTATCCCCCCATCATCCCTTAATTGCCGCACCAGCACCCACACTACCCCCGAAATACGATAAAATTAAAAAGAGCTCATCAGAGAATATAAACTACGGCGTATTTCGTTGCTAATTAGTTGCTGCAAAATAGCGTTGCTTATAGTATTTAACTATCAACCCTTAACTCCAAATCAGCACTGCAACCACCCCCGAATAGGACGATATCGGAAAATTCTCGTAGGTGGAAAAAGACGCGGCATATTTAGTTGCCAATTAGTTGTTTGCCAAAAACGCAGTTAAGAGTATTCTACAATCATCCCCTAACCTCAGATCCAACCCCTCTACTCACTTAAAAATAGTAGATGGTTCGAATTCGCACGCAGATGTTTGAAACTACTGGATATTTTGTTGCTAATTAGTTGCTCGCCAAAAACACAATTAAGAGTATTCTACAATCATCCCCTAACCTCAGATCCAACCCCTCTACTCACTTAGAAACAGTAGATGGTTGGAATTCGCAAGCGGATGTTTAAAACTGCTGCATGTTCTGTTGCTAATTAGTTGCTCGCCAAAAACGCAGATAAGAGTATCAACCCTTAACTCCAGATCATCCCTGCAACCATCCCAGAATAGGACGATATCGGAAAATTCTCGTAGGTGGAAAATAGACGCGGCATATTTAGTTGCTAATGAGTTGCTCGTCAAAAACGCAGATAAGAGTATTCTACAAACATCCCCTAACCTCAGATGCAACCCCTCTACTCATTTAGAAATAGTAGATGGTTGGAATTTGCACGCGGATGTTTAAAACTGCTGGATGTTCTGTTGCTAATTAGTTGCTCGCCAAAAACGCAGATAAGAGTATCCTACAATCATCCCCTAACCTCAGATCCACCCCCTCTACTCACTAAAAAATAGTAGATGGTTCGAATTCACACGCAGATGTTTAAAACTGCTGGATATTTTGTTGCTAATTAGTTGCTGCAAAATAGCGTTGCTTATAGTATTTAACTATCAACCCTTAACTCCAAATCAGCACTGCAACCGTCGTAGGTGGAAAAAAGCGGCGGGATATTTAGTTGCTAATTAGCAATACGATATTCTGCAGTAATATACATCTACGAGCGTATTCTGGCCGATTTTTTATTGTAAAGAGAAAATGATGGTCGATCTGAGGTGAAGAGACGATTGTAGAAAAATATCCCGCATTTTTTGTACCCATAAGGGTGGCAGCTGGGATGATTTGGAGTTAAGGGTTGATAATCAAATATTATAAGCAACGCTATTTTTCAGCAACTAATTAACAACAAAACATCCAGCAGTCTTAAACATCTGCGTGCGAATTTTAACCATCTACTGTTTCTAAGTGACTAGAGGGATTGCATCTGAGGTTAGGGGATGCTTGTAGAATACTCATAACTGCGTGTTTGGCGAGCAACTAATTAGCAACTAAATATCCCGCGTCTTTTTTCCACCTACGAGAATTTTCCGATATTGTCCTATTCTGGGGTGGTTGCAGGGATGATCTGGAGTTAAGGGTTGATAATCAAATATTATAAGCAACGCTATTTTTCAGCAACTAATTAACAACAAAACATCCAGCAGTCTTAAACATCTGCGTGCAAATTTTAACCATCTACTGTTTCTAAGTGACTAGAGGGATTGCATCTGAGGTTAGGGGATGCTTGTAGAATACTCATAACTGCGTGTTTGGCGAGCAACTAATTAGCAACTAAATATCCCGCGTCTTTTTTCCACCTACGAGAATTTTCCGATATCGTCCTATTCTGGGGTGGTTGCAGTGCTGATCTGGAGTTAAGGGTTGATAGTTAAATACTATAAGCAACGCTTTTTCGCAGCAACTAATTAGCAACAAAATATCCAGCAGTTCTAAACATCTGCGTTTGAATTCGAACCATCTACTATTTTTAAGTGAGTAGAGGGGATGGATCTGAGGTTAGGGGATGATTGTAGGATACTCTTATCTGCGTTTTTGGCGAGCAACTAATTAGCAACAGAATATCCAGCAGTTTTAAACATCCGCGTGCGAATTCCAACCATCTACTGTTTCTAAGTGAGTAGAGGGGTTGCATCTGAGGTTAGGGGATGTTTGTAGAATACTCTTATCTGCGTTTTTGACGAGCAACTAATTAGCAACTAAATATGCCGCGTCTATTTTCCACCTACGAGAATTTTCCGATATCGTCCTATTCTGGGGTGGTTGGAGAGATGATCTAGAGTTAAGGGTTGATAATCAAATATTATAAGCAACGCTATTTTTCAGCAACTAATTAACAACAAAACATCCAGCAGTCTTAAACATCTGCGTGCGAATTTTAACCATCTACTGTTTCTTAGTGAATAGAGGGGTTGCATCTGAGGTTAGGGGATGATTGTAGAATACTCTTAACTGCGTTTTTGGTGAGCAACTAATTAGCAACTAAATATCCCGCGTCTTTTTTCCACCTACGAGAATTTTCCGATATCGTCCTATTCTGGGGTGGTTGCAGTGCTGATTTGGAGTTAAGGGTTGATAGTTAAATACTATAAGCAACGCTATTTTGCAGCAACTAATTAGTAACGAAATACGCCGTAGTTTATATTCTCTGATGAGCCCTTTTTAAATTTTTCGTATTTCGGGGGTAGTGTGGGTGCTGGTACGGCAATTAAGGGATGATGGGGGGATAAAACAAATAATGCTGTCCTACAGCAACTAATTAGCAACTAAATATGCCGTTTGCAGAACTTCGATATCTTTACGAGAACCGAAGATATAGTATTGTGGTCTGCTAGGTTAAGACTTAAGCTAGCAGATCGCATGTATCTTTTACAGGTGTTGAGCAACTAAATCGGGAATAGTGTAACTAATTAGCAACTAAATATGCTGTTTGCAGAACTTCGATATCTTTACGAGAACCGAAAATACAGTATTGTGGTCTACTAGGTTAAGACTTAAGCTAGCAGATCGCATGTATCTTTTACAGGTGTTGAGCAACTAAATCGGGAATAGTGTAACTAATTAGCAACTAATTAGCAACTAAATACCCAGTAGGTTAGATGTGCGCGTTGCGACCATGGTCTGCTAGCTTAATATACGTACAAAATTCAGTACGCGGAGCACTTCGAATGCGATGCGCACGCGACGGCGGTCCGCAACGAAGTATAAGTAGATAGGGACAAACCCTCCACCAACCCATGGTCCTTCCTACCAATCATGGTATACGGACCGAATCTTGGGAGAGCGCGGGGGTACTTGCCAGTGGCTCTTTCCCCGCCTGCGCTTGTCTTGACTCCCTACAAATTCTGTTTCCGTCCCTTCTTTTTCCTACTCTCCCCCTTCTGGGGCTAGACGTCACAGCACAGCACTTCGCGTCGGGCATCTTCATGGTCTTCGGTCCTACTCGTATGTGACACGGATGGAGTGCCAAGAATGGGCAAACTCGCAGAATGCATCCCAGTTACTTCTGCAGCTGACGAGGTTCCCATGAAAGATCGGTCCGGGTTCTGTGATCGTTATCTTCCCCAGCATTTTGTTCCGAGTGACCTCATAAAGTGAGCAATCCCATAGTGCATGATCTCGGCTCTCTTCTTCTCCCTCGCCACAGGGGCAGAGTGCAGACTCGCACAGCGATAGGCGGTTTAATCGCTGTCTGAAGCACCCATGCCCCGTTAACAGTTGTGAGACCTCATAAGATGGTTCAATCCAGTGGTTGGAGAGCCTCATGCTCACATCTGGGATGAATCTAAAAAGCTCGCGTCCATCGGTGCTCTGTGTCCATCGCTCCTGCCAAACGGATACGACCTCCTCTCTAATGGCGCGCTGCAATTGTCGGCGCTCCCTCGGGGCCAGTTGGACTCCCTCCTCCGCAAGTCGTCCCGCACGAACAACCTCCAGGTCAGCAGGGAGTACACCTGCAAGCACAGGTAACGCTGCGGTGCTGCATGTCCTGTAGGCTTTCGTGAGTAAAATTAGCGCCGGCCTCTGCGTACTGAGCAAAGCTCTTTTCACCACAAAAATCACAATGGTCACGTCATCGGCATACGCCATAGCGTGAACACCTTCCGGTCGCGGCAGCAGCAGGAGGTCATTGAGAAGAAGGTTCCATAGTGTCGGGCCCAAGACTGATCCCTGTGGACACCCCATAGTGCAGTGCTTCCATGTTGTTTGGTTGCCCACAAAGAGACCTACCCTGCGGTTTGTGAAGTAGTCCACCAAGATTTTGTATAAGTTCGGGTTTATCCCTGCTTGTTTCGCCTTGACCAGAATCATTGGCCACCACGTGTTGTCAAATGCACCGGAAATGTACAGAAAGATCAGCTGTACATACTGAGCAGCACTGTTATCAGTGATATTGTTAATCAGTTGCAATGCCGTGACCGTGGAACGACCACGGGTGAAACCGTGCTGAGCATCAGAAATATGACGGTACAGGGAGGGAGCGCAGACAATTATAATACGTTCTAAGATCTTACCCAAGATAGGCAACAAGGTGATCGGCCTATAGGCTTTCGGATCTGAAAGAGGTTTGCCGTTTCCCTTTGGCAGAACGAGCAATTTGCCGGTTTTCCAGATATCGGGGAAAATGCCCTGCGCAATACACAATCTGTACATGAAAAACATTTCGTCGGATGCAGCCTTCCAAGCCCATTTTATTATTAGGGCAGTAATCGCATCAGTTCCTGCAGCGGTATTGGGAAGAACCCGGATGATATTCTCTACCTGGGACTTGACAAGATTTACGGAATCCTCGCCGGACGGTGCAAATGAAGCCGCAATACGGACCTTTCGGTGATAGGTACTGTCCGTCGCCGGGTCGTCATCGGGGAAGAGTGACCCAAGCAGCGCCGCCATAGAGTCTCTCGAGCCAGTCGTGAACCCGTCCAGTAGTTTCATACCACTAATGACGTTTGGCGGCGGGCGGAGGCGCCCACTCGCCACGCGGTAGGCAGCACCCCAGGGGTCGTCGTTTACGGATTCTGCTATGGTTCGGTAGAAGTCCAATTCTGCCTTCTTCATGGCCTCCTTGTAGGTTGATCGAACGGAGCGTAGTGCATCATGAAGTAGCTCTTCTTGTCTTCCACCAAATCGACGGGATCCCTGCCACCTGCGACGGGCTCTGCTCACTTTGAGACGAATTGCGTCTAACTCTGGCGACCACACTCGTATCTTCCGTCATCCCTACGAGCACGCTGTCCTATTTCCTCCCTCGCGGTGCGCACCAATAGTTCCGTAAATTTCTCACAGTATAGTGGGGCTGGAAGGCTGGTGTTAATGTGCGCCACCCGGGCATTTAGCTTGGCACAGAACCCATCCCAATTCACCCCTCTCACTCTAAACGGCACAGGTAATCCGCTCTCACGGCCGCAATCTACATCCCCCAAACTATTTCCCCATTGCAGTGTGAACGTGATAAGTTGATGATCACTGAGGCTGGCACCTACGTGGACTGTCCAGTTGTTAATGTTGAACCCGCGAGACGATAAAGTGAGGTCCACATTCGATTCGCCGTTCGGCCCACTGAAAGTGTTCGGTTGGTCGGGGACATTGTGTATGCGGAGATTCCGGCTTAAGATGAAGCCCTCCATGTGGTTTCTTCTGTACTCAGTGTCGCAGCCGCGTCCTGTATACTGCCTCTCTTCACAGAACCACAACGGGGAGTGCGCGTTACTGTCCACACAGATGAGTACCGGTTTGCCGGCCAAATGGTCTAAGATACCTTCCAGATGGAGAATATGACGGCTTATATCATGGCTGTACTGAAAATAAGCCGAAATCATGTGGACACTCATATCGCCCAGCCCAACGTGTATTACCAAACAGTGATCATTACTTAGATGGTGTAGCACGGTGCACACAAGGTTTTTATTAAAAATGAGGACCCCAGCCTTGGAATTGGCACTATACTGCAGTAATCCTGTCGCCTCCTGGTATTGTTCTTGCACCAGGATTACATCCAGTAGGTGATCACGTGCTATCGAGATGATTTCCTTGGACGCTGCTTCGGATCCCTGTAAGTTTAGCTGTCCTACGCGAAAAGTGCTGTGAACTTTATTATCCATAGTGCAACATGTTCACCGCTTGCTGTTCTGCGAACTGACGTGCAGGGCACGAGACGGAGGCCGTGGAATGGGTGTCCGCATCCTTACGCTTAAACCGTCTACAAGTAGCGCAGCATTAGGTTTTCGCCTGACACTCCGTAACTTTGTGGCCGACATCACCACACTTACCGCACACCATCTCCTTCGCTCTGCAGTACTTCTCAGGGTGACCGTATTGCTGGCATCGCAGACAACAAGTTGCCCTTACGTGGTCACTTACCTCCGCCTCGTCCCAGCCGATGTAGACTTTGCCTAACCGGATGAGCTTATCCCGCATTGGCATGGTGCACTCCAAGATATAAAGGAACTTCGTGCCTACCTCCTTTTTCAGGGCCACCTTACACGATTGCTTTACCTTATCCAGGGACCATTCCGGATCGTCGGACAGATTGACCTTCTGTAAGTCTACTAAGAAATCCTCTTCTGATATGTCCGACCTTAGGAATCTGAGCGCGATCCTCGGCAGTCCAGTTTTGGAGTCCGCTGCTTTAAGTGATGGTGGTGCCGCTGCCTTGAGTTTCTGCGCAGCCTCCAAATTAGCAGTCCGAATCACGACGCCTGACTTGCCAACCATCCGTACACTTTGTATTCGAATGCCTTCGGATCCTGGCTTAATAGCGTTCTGCAAAGTGCGTTTGGTGTCCTCTGATGACTTTAGGGACTCATCAGCCGGGTAGAATATGACCGCCGGACCTTGGGGTTGGACAGGGATGGGGGCCTTACCTCGTGGAAGTTTCAGCATATTCGCGTACGAAGGAACCTGCGGCAACGAGGGCTGCGGTGCGCTAACACACGCCGACTGTTTAAGGAACTCGATTTCCTTTGCGGCAACCTGTAGCTTAACAGCATTGGCCTGGTGCTCTGCATCTGCGAGGCGCAGCTCCAAGGCAGCGACGGCGGCGAGTATATCCTGCGAGTGCGAGGCTACGGTACCTTTGTCAGTCATGTTAAGCTTGTTTGCCGCTTTGGTAATGGAGCCAATGCCTTTCAGCGCCTTGTGCACCATTTCCAGCAGCTGCAGTTTATCTAGGGAGGCAAGGCCCCCCTGGGCGGAAGGATCGGGTGTCGGATCCGGTGTTCTTGGAGCGGGAGGGTTACTATCACTGGCGGCCCTTGGTTGCGATGTTAATATGCCGCCAATAGGGGGAACAGCCTGCACCTCCTCCGGTGACGCCAATGCTCTTTTGGTGGACGTGCCAGGATTAACCGATGGTGAACGAGAACGCTGGGTCTGGGGTGGAAGACCGGGAGTGACGAAATCACCATCTCTCGGAGGGGACCTGGCCAGAGAGTGCCGGGGGGTAAAACCTGTAGCGGCCGACATCTCCTCCAAGATCCTCAGTTCCTCCTCCTTTTGTGCCATTTCTGCCTCCAAATACGCTTTAGCCGCAGCGGCCTCATCCTCCTCCATGGTAGTTAGTGACCAAAAACGTTCACGTCCCTACTTATATACGACAAAAACGGAACGCACCTGTCACCACTGACAGTGACACTGCCAGAGACAGTGACAGCTGTCAATGTCAGGAGACAATGACAGCTGTCAATGTCAGGAGACAATGACAGCTGTCAGTGTCAGGAGCTCCCGCGGTATCACCACCCGCTACGGAATACCTAGTATCTATAAACAACACAACAAATATTCATAAACGCAGACTAAATAAAAATATTAACTAAGCAACCAAAACGGAACGTAATTTCGAGCTGACCAATGGGCGCACACGTCAAGTTCGAGTGACAGCTAGGCTGTCAGACTCGACTGACAGCGTCAAAAAACACGTGTGGCTTCGAAACCACGTTGCGACAAACTTAACCTACAAACTAACCTAACATAAAACACGTGGTGCCGAAAACACTGAAATAGGTGAAAATTTTCAGCAAAATGGCGAACCTTCTTGTTTATGCAGGCCGAAGCAGCGGGAGATACGCGCGGAATGGCCTCCACCGGGCGTACTTTCTTGACTCCCTACAAATTATTCTTTATCTATCTCCTTGTCCCTATGGTCCCTCTCCCCTTTCTGGGGCGGACGTACACGAAACGCCTTCGTCGCAATCCCAGTCGTCCCGTGCCCACTCTGAAGTGGTACCGCTGACTCCAAATTGAATAGTCCTCTTCTTTCTTCGCCTCAGGTCTTCTTTCTTCACCTCTCGAGTCCACTCCGAATCCTGTGCCATCTACGCGCGAAATCCCGCAGCTGCCTGAAGTTCGCCTCCGATCCCACAAGGTCGCAATAGTAGACCGGCCCAACCTCGAGCACCTTCACACTGTCCAGAAGTTCCCTACGCGCCTCCCCGTAGAGCTTACACTCCCACAGAGCGTGGTATGCGTCCTCTACTTCTCCCTCCCCACAGTAGCACGACCCCACCTCCGCGAGCTTCATTCGGTGAAGCCTACCCCTGAAACAGCCATGTCCTGTCAGCAATTGCGAGGTTTCATAGTCAGGCTCGACCAAAGTGGCCTTGAGTCGGGCCTCCACTCCCGGGAAAAACCGATACAACTCCCTCCCCTGGTCCGATGCATTCCAACGCCCCTGCCATTCGGCAAGGACGGACTCAGTGACCCCGAGTTTGGCGCTCTGCAGCTCCTCCCTGGTAGCCGCGGACTCGCGTGCCCCACCTAGTCTGCCCGCCCGAATTACCTCGAGGTCGGCCGGTAAAACACCGGCCAACACAGGCAAAGCGACAGAGCTCGTCGTCCGGTACGCCTTGGTCAGAAGGATCAAGGCGGGTCTCTGGGTGCGCAAAAGCGCAGTACGCACAACGTGAAGAGACGCACGCTCGTACCAACATGCCGCAGCATACGTCACCGTGGCGATGTAAGTGCCGCGGTACAAGACCTTTAGGGCCTTGTACCGAACTCCCCAAGAAGCCGCCGATACTCTCGACATCATGCCGAAGCAATTTGCCGCCCTCTCCCCTATCGACGCCGCATGCTGCGCGAACGAGAGACTCAAATCGACCTTCACACCCAACACAGTAGCCGACGTCACGCTCCTGATAGACGTCCCCCCGAACCGGATGATGGGTGGCCGCTGGAATTTCCCCCTGATCGTCATGGTAACAGACTTTGCAGGAGAGAAGTCCAGCCTATTACGGGCCCCCCATTCACCGACGAGCTGCAAAACCGTAGAGGCCGTGGCCTCTATGCTCGCCCTGGCTCCGGATTCGATCAGGATCGTGACGTCGTCGGCGTACGCCACCATGCTTACCCCGGTCGGCGTACGCCACCATGCTTACGGGTAGTAGCAGTCGAAGCAAGTCGTCCATAAGCACGTTCCAAAGCGTTGGTCCCAACACCGATCCCTGCGGGCAACCCATCGATGCCGCCTTCCACACTACCCGATCACCCACGAACAAGCCCACACGGCGATTGACGAAGTAATCCGCCAACATCCTGAAGATGTTAGGCGGACATCCTCCGCGTTTCGCCTTGAGCAGGATCATGGGCCACCAAGCATTATCAAAGGCCCCAGAGATATCCAAAAATACCGCTTGCACATATTTCGACGAACTCTCTCTAGCCACTCTGAAGATTTCCTTCAGAGCAGACACCGTCGACCGACCCCGAGTGAACCCGTGCTGGCAGTCCGATAAACCTCTGGTTATTTGCGGAGCACACCTTAACATTACACGTTCTAAAATCTTACCAAAGATCGGTAGCAGAGTGACGGGGCGATACGCTTTCGGATCGGGAAGCGGCTTGTCATTCCCTTTCGGGAGAACAATCAGCCTGCCGTCCTTCCACGTATCAGGAAATCGTCCCTCCTGGACACATCGCCTAAACACTTCAGAGAATTCCACCGGCGCGGCTGCCCAAACGTGTTCAACAATACGAACCGAGATCCCATCGATACCCGGTGCGGTGTTAGGCAAGTCCTTGACTATACCCGCAATTAGACTGTCAGTTGGAGGCGGGGCATCTTCTCCTGAGGGTATGAGCGAGGCTACTAACCGCACTTGCCTGTGGTACTCTGTGTCCTTAGACACATCGTTGTCCGGACAAAGAGCATACACGAGGCTGTGCATAGCCTCGTCCACACCCCCAGCATAACCTTCGGCGAACTTCGTGCCATTTATTACGTTACGGGGAGGCCTAGACCTCCCACTAGCGGCTTGCTAGGCCTGTCCCCAAGGGTTCAGGTTTCCGGAATCTGCGATCTTTCTAAAATGCAAAAGTTGCGCCTCCTCCATGGCCGCCCTATACCTACTCCTATGCACATGAAAGCGGCCCCTGGCTTCCGCCTCAACCAGGCCGCCGGCCCGGCGAGTCGACTGCCAGGCTCGCCTCAACTTGTTGTTGAGTTGACGCAACCGATCGAGCTCGGGCGTCCACCAATCGTGTCCTGTGTCCGAATTCCTAGCCTGAGCCAACCCCAGCGTCTGCTGTTAATGTGAGGTCAATGTTGGACGCTCCGTTCGCAGTGGCAAAGGTCGAAGGCTCTCCTTCCCTATTCTCCAACTGCAGGCCCCGGGCCAGGATAAACGGACTCACGGCGGTGCGTGACGTCTGGCCCACGTCCCGTATACTGCCGCGGTTCGCAGTACCACATTGGAGAGTGCGCATTGGAGTCAACCCCAATCACGACCCTCTTCCCCTTCAAGGAATCCAGGACTCTGCCTAACTGCTCCAGGTGCACATTAATGTCGTCGCTGTACTGAAAATACGCGGACACCACGTAAATTCCCTCTTCGTTGATAAGTAGGTGACACACTGTACAGTGTGTAGTCGACAGATGGTGCAAGAGGGCACATGGGAGGTCCCTACGACGGACATAAACGCCCGCTTTGGGTCGTTCACCGCACTGCAGTAAACTGCTCGCGGCACTCCAGTTTGGGCTAGGATAATGTTCCTGAGCCAGAACGACGTCTAGGCCCAGTTCCTCTGCTACCTGGGCTAACTCCATTGTGGCAAGCTCTGCCCCCGCTAAGACTGTACATGATTTTGTTGGAGCTATTAGTAGGCCGTAATCTCCGCCATTCTGCGTTGGGCATGGATCCTAGCCGGGCAATCCCGGGCTCCGGTAGCATGTGTGTTAGCCCCCTTTTGGCCGAACTTATGGCACGTAGCGCACCGTTCAGATTCGGCCTTGCAGTCCTCGACCTTGTGTCCCGCACCGCACCTCGTGCAGGTGTATGCCTCCTGCCTGCACCGCTTCTCATTATGCCCGTATGTCGAGCATTTATGACATATGACGGCCGTCGTAAAGTCTTCCACCCTGCATACCTCCCATCCGATGTACAGTCGGCCTTTTTCAATAAGCGCTTTCCGCAACTTCGCGCTACATGCCAGCACCATGGACGAACGTGACCCCCCAACCCTGCTCTTACGGAATGCCAGCTTGCATTCCCCTTTCATTTTCTCAGCCGTCCATTCCCCACTGTCGGCAAAGTTTTGAACAAACACCCGATCCAACGGTGCCCCCACATCTGGATCTTTACCCTCCAGGTCTCTTATTACAACGAGGGGCGCACGCCCCTTCAGATCGTTTGCCTTTAGAGAGCTCGGGAGAGCTGCCTTCAGTTTCGTTAGGTCTTCTTTAGTGCGAGTTTGGATGACCACACCCGCGTTCCCCACCCTACGCACTCTGTCCACCTGTATATTCAGCTTCGCGGGAGCGATAGAGGTCTTCAAGATCGACTTCGTTTCCTCCGAGGATTTAAGATCACTACCGTCGGCGGGATCACTGCCAGTACAGGGCCAGCCGGAGGTGCCCTGCGCACCCTGTCAGCATACGTGGCTGCACCCACTGCGTTACCACTCGAGAGAGCCTCCGCCGCTCGCGTACGAGCCGCCTCTGCCTCGGCTTCAGCTCTCGCGGCGCGCTCCTGTTCCCTCAGATAGGCGGCGTCCAAGATCGCTGCCCTTATCTTTGCGGAGTTTATGCGCCCCTTGTCTTCTTCCGCAATCAACCCCAAGTGACCGACAATCTCCATGATCAACGAGAGTTGGCTGTTGATCGTCGCCATGTCGGTCCGGTTGATTTTGTTGGAGGCCCCAGCCACTCCAGATATAGTTCTCGCTGCCGCGTTGGCTTTCGCCAGCAATTGCCGTGAAGTCGACCGCGCCAGGAAACGAGACGCCTCTGGGGATTGCGAGAGGGCGACCTAGACCGACGCTCCATCCTCCCTGAGCGCGCGACAAGCGCGCGCCTTCACTTTCGTTGTGCCTTTCAGTTTATATGAATCTCAATGACTCGCACACATGCTAGACTCCTTGGTCCGTGTTCCAAGACGGGTCCTGCGAGTGCCCGAAACTGAATCGTCGCAGACAGAGACGCGCTATGTATTGAAGGTTCCTAATGGTGATTTTCTTGTAGTTAAATGTCTTATAATTAAGATAAATTGAGAGCTTGTAATTTATATAAACAAATTGTCAGACAATAATGTTATTTAATTAAAAAAAAAATTTTGTTT